CATGTCGCTGGTGGCGCTGTTGAAGTGAATTAGGTTTTGCAAAGTTCAATACCGGTATATCTACAAAATAATTGACCTTAAGCCAGACTTTTATTATCCCTTGTTTCGCGAACCCGCCAAATGAACAGGAGCCGAAAGTGAAATAAAAATAAAATTTTATTTCAGCGTAATTTCTCGCTGTAAGTGCAAAAAATTGCTAAAAACAATTATTTTTATCTTCATTTTTTTCACCGCCCGCTGCATAACAAATCCAGGTTGCATTTTCGTGGGAGTATCATGATCAAAGTACCGAAGTCTCACGCAGATGAGAAACAAGGTTATACATTGAATAACATTTTATTTCATTTCTTTTCTCCGATCAATGATCTCACTTACAATTCTTTGAGAATCACACAAATCTAATGAAAAAAAAAAGAATTAATTTTATTTTTTCCACTCTCCTCAAAAGAATTGCCTTATAAAAGTCTGGCCTTACAAGAAAAATAGAAGCCAATAATGAATGTTGCGCCACACTTTCAAGACGAGGTCAACCTCAAAATATGATATTGGAGCTGTTGGTCAACATAGTGATTTTCAACTACTCTAAAAAACAAATTAATAAATGTAAATTGAAAATATGAAAAATAATAGAGAAATGAGAAAAGTAGAAAAAGTCAAAATTAGGATATTATTTTGATCAGAATGGTTCTTTTTCAGGTGTTTATTTTGTTTTAACAAGTAAAATCATCTTCAACATCTACAGTATTAGATGACACAATATTTTTATGATAATATTAATCATTTACTCTATTAATTTTAAATGAAACTTTAATACATGAATAAATCAGGCGACAGTTCCAGACATTGAATGTCGCTGTTGTTTCTCCTGACTTTTTTTCTTTTTTGTAAGTGCAATTTGCAAGTGCTAGTGCTGACACATAATGCATTTTGCCACAGAAGTCATTTCCTGTTTGGGACTACATGACAGGGCTATATGGCCATCTCCCTATCAAATGGCAATTTTAATGCACTATCCTGGCGTCAACAAGGCTCGGTCGAACACAAGCACCTGCAGACCTTAACCAAGGTTCCCCCAAAGTCACATTCGTTAGTGAATGAATCTCGGCCAGTGGAATTGGCCTTCCCATTGAGTCTGTGGCACACTCACCCAGGGTAGGGGGGTCGACCCTTTAATGTTCAGCCTAAGTTCTACCGATCATGAGTATGATGTGTGAATGGTTTAATTTTAATAATTTTAATTATTGTGTAACACATTTTATGGTTTTTGATGACAATGCACATGTATCTTGATACACAGTAAATAATGATGGGAGTAAGCTTGACACAGAAGACAAAGAAGCAGTTATTTGGACTTTAAATTTTATTCAAACACCAAATCCTGTTCATACAACCATTTGTACATAGCTAGTAAGGATAAATATAGTTTCTTCAACTTGTAACTCACTTTGCTCCAATCTGAAAACGATGAAAGAAAAAAAGATATCAGTGTGTATTTTTTCAAACATTGTGGAAGTAGACATAAAAAATATTATTTTAAATACAATATTTTGAGACACAAAATGTATAAATCTGAAAAGAATAAACCAAATATGCCCGCGTAAACAGACAAAGGACATAAAACTTGTAAATAGGACGTAACATAAATCTATGAATGAGTATGCTGTTTTCACCTGAGAATCACAAATAAAAAATGGTAATGCTCAAGAAATCTATATAGACAAACCCCACTATCAGCAAAATGATTTGGCATGAGACAAAGCAGGGGGGAAGGGTCTATAAAAATAAGTCATAGTAATGTTGCTCAGTCTGCTTTAGAAATGTAAGACTAGGTTTTTTCTTTTTATCACCACACATTAGTAATTCTAAACCAGAAAAAATCACCAAACATATTTTAAAAATTCAGTTACAAGTTTCCTGTTTGGCAGAATCTTTAAGCATTGGAGTCAGGCAGCCAATCAGCAAGAGTCTTACAAAAGAACAGCTGGAAGACGAGGAATAAGTACAGAAACATAAAGCCTAATTGCTTTGACATCAGACCAATCATACTTACTTATTGACATTGTGTTTGAGTTTGTTGAGTTGTGCTCTTTCAGGTGGAGTTATCATTTCTTCAAGTTCCGCTGTTTGTTCAGGATTACCATCATTGTTTCTTAAAGATGCAGCCACTACTGCCTCTATCCTCTGTGACCTCTCAAGCAGCCTCCTGAGAGGAACAAATAAATGAAATAATGCATCAGTATAGCTAGAGTTGTCATGCTAATAACTTATCTAAAAATATGCCATTTTTCTGTTGTTGTCATTCATTTTTGTGGGTTTTTACTTAGTTATTGATTCTAGAAATCTACATATATGCAAACTATTAAGTTCCAGTAGTGGCTTGATCAATCTTAAACAAAATGCAATCTAGTCCTGGATTTGCCATTTCATCTGAATTAAAACACACACTCAAACAACAAGCAAAGTTTTAAAGCGACAATATCTGTGATTTCAAACATTTTTTGTTCAAATATAACCACATAAATATTACTTTTGACACAACAGCATGGATAATGTGACCCTACACAAAAGAAATGTCACATAAAATGTGACGTGGTAGCTAAGAGTTGAGTAGTCTTTGAAAATTATAATGAACAACGCCTACTATTATGAGAAACAATGCTCAGCCTCTCAAGATTGCAATGTATTCTGACATTTCGTCTAGGGCTTCTGGTTGGTTGTCTTCTTTACCATAGTCTCTGAGGTTCACTTGACAAAACTGTATTTCAATATATGCCGCCGTTTGGAGATACGGGCACAACACCCGGCCATTTTTTCCCCCACTTCCAATTGATTTAATGTACAAAGTTGGTCTACAGCATATTTGATTCGCCTTCAGTGCCACATTTCAAAGTGGCACTAATGACACAGAAAATTAGAGAGAAAAAAAACGATAGCTATTTACAGCTATTGTCGCATTAATACAGAGCTTAATTTCTTAAAGAAAAAACAAAGTATGGAATATCATTCCTGAAATACAGAAGACAACAAAAAGGAAACTGCTAACAAATGAAAAACGTAATAAAGCTATATTTTTTAAGATGGCATAATGTAATTTCACAAATACCACAAAAATACCTGTTTTCATATGTGTCATGTTCTCGTCTGGCTATTAAATTAGCGTTGGTTTTGTAACACCTCTCAAGCAGCATTCGACAAACTTGGTTCAAGTTCACAGAAAATAAATAAAAGGTCCTAGATGGTGCATGGTCAGGGGTTCTGGGGATTTCTTGTACGGATACAAAGTGTTCAGAAAACATTTGGTATAGAAGTTCCTTGGCCTCTTTAGCTGGAATCATTGCAAACTCTTCAACCTGAAAAATACTGTTTATTTTACGAAATATACTGCATAAAATTGGTATTAAGGTATGCCACCGGTGTGTTTTCTACGCTGATATGACACGCCACAGATGCAACAGAAAATCATATGTTGATATAGTGATCTTGAACAAAAATAATTTGATGAAATTAAATTCACATTTTAAAAAAAGTGTAAATACAAACAAATTCTGGGGCCACAACAATTTTGTTTGTGCTTCAGGTCATCTACACAGACAATTTTCTTTTTTCTTGAAGGCGAACCTCCAAGCTTCAACAATTAAGCAGCCATAACTTGATTTTAGGTGCACTATATCACCATTTGTGGGTTAATTATTACAATATATAAATATAATTGATATAATTATAATTCTAGTAATGTAGGTTCTGAAATGTTTCTTACCTGTTTTTGTTCAAGGTGCTGCTTCAGGAGTAACAACCTGAATATTCTGTAACATTTTGAACCAAACCTTTCCTGTACAACTGACTCTATATGGGCTATACACAGTGATTTTATAGCTTTGTAAATATCTGAAGACAGTTTTAAAGAATAGTACTCAACACTGTCAACCACCTTATAAGACTTAATGGTAATCTCATTTATGAGTCTGATCGAAGGACATCAATTAAAAGTCAGAACACCTATATTTATATACACTTTCTTGGGAGTTGTATTTCCTGTTACATTGCTTGCAATTGACATACATGAGGATTTAACAAGTCTGACATGTATAATGTATATTTCTATTTTAATATAATATTTTATTATGTGCACTTAGTAGCTAAAAACCATACTAATATAAAGGATACTGATGACATATATCCCACCACCGCTCTCACCAGTTTTATTGATGAAGTCAATCTGAAAACAATCAAAAGACAAAATTAGTAAAAAGTGATATATAAAACAAGATCCGACGAATCCAGCAATACGCATATTTGTATGAAAATACTGCTTCCCAATAAGTGCAAGAATTTCAGATGCTTTTCCATAAAAACTATGCACTTCCAGTAATTTATGGAATGTGTCAATGTCAGCTAGGTCTTGAAAAGATATGATCACTTGTGATATAACATGACATTTTCTTGTTGTCTGTGAATAACCTCCAATTTTTAGTGCTTGTAAAATTTCCATATTTCTTACTAGGCTCAGAAATCTCATAAATATGTACATGTGATATATATGATCACTGAACACAATATGAACCACATTATAAATATACGAGTAAAAAGTAATTTGAGAAAAATAACCTGGTCATCAGCAAGAAGTTTTAGGTACTGGTCTAATGTGGGTCTTGGGATGTTAAGTTCTCTTGATAACGCGTGAAATATTTCATGGCTGGACATTGGTTTGGTCAGTGTTGCCTTGGGATCTGTGGTCAATTCACTCATACGTAACATTGTTCGTACAATCTCTGCTCCAATCTAAAATGAACAACAATGTACATGTAAATGACATAGTACAGTAAATAATTTCAACACTAGGAATTTAACTTTTTAACCTTTTCAACACCAGTTTCCTCTTTTCATCACAAAATTCACAAATGTCGTCCCAGTTTTAGACTGCACTTTCCTTCAGAAGATTGGGACAAGAATAGCCAATTTTTTTTAGTAAAAACTGAAAATTTATGCAAATTATGGTTCATTTAGAGAAATATTGAAGAATAAAAGAAATCAAAGAAAGCTTAGAAAGAACTCCTGTGTGCTGGGACTATTGGAGACACATTAAAATTAATTCAAAATTTAAGATTTGCTTTCCAAACGAAAAGCTTGGCAACTAATTTTTGTCTGCTATTTGAGATGCATAACATGGAAAAAATGTGATTCACATTATCAAAATTTATAATACATACAGAAAATAAATTTGATTTTTCATCCATGGTTTTTAGTCTAATTTATTCCAGAGCACCTCTGCGATGAATTCAATTTAAATCTGACTTTTTTAGATATCAGAAATGGGCTAATAATAGATAATCAATATGCATGTTTATCAACATTAAACATTAAATCATGTCTGTGGATTACCTCAATGAACCAAATGAATTATTATACAAATTATTAAAAGCAATTATTATGCATAGATTTAGGTCTGTATATTGTTTCAGGATGCACATGTACAAAGTTTCTTTATAATGTGATGATTAATTCTAACTAAATTAGTGGAAAACTGAAAAGTAAA